ATCACACACACACACACACACACACACACACACACACTCCTTCTAATGCCCTCTGCAGGCAAAGGTAATCAACCTGCTTCCTTAAGCTTCTTCCAGAAGGGAATACCAGTTGTCAAGATGAGGGATGAGAGAGGTCATGGCTTTTCAAAGAGAGAAATAAAAGTGAGAGATGAGGTGGAAAGGCACTCAGGGGCCTTCTCGTCATGTTGTGATGAGAAGTCATGGATGGGTTTAGAGGTGGGGAGAATGCACAGTGGAGATGGTAAAGCTGGAGTGAGAGAGGCTGTTGCAGGGAAGAAATGATGGACACATGGCATAAAACAGTAACAAGGTGTATAAAATGGATTTCAGACATGTATCATGGAGGGAATTTATAGGATTTAGTGGTTGACCAGCCGTTCGGAGGAGTAAAAGGTCCGGATGACTTGTAGTTTTGGGCAATGAGGCAAAAACTAATGCTAAATAACAATATCCACAAGAAGAGAGAGGATTTTTATTATCCTGGGGAAATCCCTAATAGTTATAAAGCAAAAGGGAACTCCAACTTGAGATTTTGCTTATAAGTCTAGCTATGCTTAAATGACCAAAGACAGGTATCCTTTCATTTAAATGACTAACAACCTCCTTTGGTCATTTATTCTAATATTTCCATAACCTGTACCACCAAGAACCTGACATACCATGAATATTGATGTAACCAAAGATGTCTATGATAATATGCTGTCGTTTCTGTTCTGCATACCACAGTGTTAACCCAGAAATATGTCGGAAATGATATCTAAATCTACATGGTATTTTATAGCTTATACACATCCATTATTTCATGTGAGCCTTGCCAGGGAAGCTAGTTCCTTCCTTCCCCTGGCACACCTCAATGGACATTTGGGGTGTGCCAGGACAGCTTGTGAGAGAGCCATGGGCAATATGTAGAAATAGTTAAAAGTTATAAACCAAGTTCTCTTCCTACTCAGACAAAAATATCTTCATAACCACAAGAATGGAAAGCATGTATAAAGTTGTGTTTTTTTATATGACTAAAAGTTGGCAAAATATCAAATATGACTAAATTTAATTATTCTCATTCATGCCTGGGCATCCAACTGAGCTGACCATGTTTAGATGGATAATAAAATTATGACCTGCATCATAAATTGTTACATATTTATTTCAAAAAAATCTGTTTTTTTCTTATATTCTTTTTAGTAAAATTATTGATTGTGTTGTTATAAGCAAGATTTTCACATAGTTGGTGTTCTATTAACAATGATACCAAATGGACCATCTTTCTGGAGTCAGCATAGCTCTTTGATAATTTATTAATTTCAATTTGAAAAAGCTTCACCCTGCAAAGACAGCGTTGAAAATAAACCATGAAATTTACTTATCCTGTTCAAACCCTGTAATGAGATCACATTTAGTAAATTATTATTGTAGAACATAGTTTAATTTCATAAATAAACAACTATCACTTATATTGCCATTTTAACTATTTCTTAATGTAATGAGAATCAACTAATGTGAAATAACATGCAGAACCAATATCAAACTTCTAGACTCACACATCTACAGGTTTAAAAGTAATATGAATTGTTTAATGTTGCAAAATATGTTTCCATGTGCAACTGTTATGAATACAGTGCTAATGTGGGAGTACCTCCAAAACTACAAACAGAAAGAGAAGCAAGAAAACTGACATTCAACACTACAAGGGAGCCACACTTTGTTATTCAAGAATTGAATTCATGCTGAGAGGAAGCATCTGACAAGTTCATTCATTCATTCATGTTCTAATTAAGCCAAACACTTCTGCTCTTCAAAATCTCACTGAACTCTGAAGCAGTGTACATCTCTGATAGTGGTAATGGCCACAATCACAGCATTAAGCACACTTCTGTTTTATTTTGAGGATATAAGATGAGTGGAGAAGCATTTCCCTGAAGTGTGTTTCCTGAGAGGAGCGTTCAGCGTTATCGGGAACCAGCTTCCAAGGGAGAGGCACCTATGTCTTCTTTCCTTTTCTTGTAATGACTTAATGGAGGCATAATTCACATAACATAAAACTCCCCCCTGACAGTGGTTTTTAGTATATTTACCCTAAAAAGAAACTCTGCACCTGTTAGCAATCACTTCCTATACCTCCCACCCTCCCTCCCTGCCACTGGCAAATACTAATCTACTTTATATCTCTATGGAATTGCCTATTCTGGGTATTTCATTGAAATAGAATCATTTAATATGTAGCCTGGTTTCCTTCACTTAGCATAAAATTTTCAAGAATCATCCATGTGGTGGCGTATCTCAGTAGTTCGTGCTTTTTCTGGCTGAATTATATTCCACAGTAAGGATACTGCATTTTGTTTATTCAACAGTCAATGGACATTTGGGGCGTGCCAGGTTTTGGGCTATTATGAATAATGCCACTAAGAACATTTGTGCACAAGCTCTTCTGTGGACATGTTTTCTTTTCTCTTGGGTCTACACCTAGGAATGGAGTTACTGGAACATGTGGTTACTTTATATCTCATGTTTTAAGGAAGTAATCCAAAGGCTTTACAAAATAGTTGTGTAATTTTACAAGTCCCCCAGCAATATATGAAGGTTCCAAATTCTCCACATCTTTGTTAACACTTGTAATGATCCTAATGTTGCTGAGTAATTGTGCTAAATCCTTCACAAGTGATCTTCCCAATATTGCTCTATTCAGAAAAGGGAATTTAGACTTAGAGGTAGTTCAGTGACTTGCTCAACACTAATAAATTTCAGTGCCAAAGCTGTAATTAGAAATACGCTACACAAATAAAACACTTTGAACACTCAAGGGAATGAAAACAATTTGGGCAAATTCCACCTCCCTCCCCTTTTTAAGAAGACTGTGTTTAAAATCTGTCTATCCAAGTTTGTCTCCTATCAATGTCCTGAATCCACTCCTGCCTTATGCTGCCCAGCTAACTGGTACTGAGACCTCATACTGAGAACAAGAGGGAGAAAGAATCTTTTCGGTTAAAGCAAAATTTTTCATTTAGCCACTGATAATTTGTAAACATTAATGAGGAATTTTAAAAAATCATAATAAAAAAAAAAGAAATTTGGAAAGCTGTATTCTCCAAGTATGATCTTTATTATTCTTGGGCCAAAATCGTTTCCAAGATATACATTTCCACATTCTTTTTTTTTTTTTTTAAGATTTTGTTTATTTATTCATGAGAGACACAGACAGAGAGAGGCAGAGACATAAGGCAGAGGGAGAAGCAGGCTCCTTGCAGGGAGCCTGACGTGGGACACAATCCCGGGTCCCCAGGATCACACCCTGGGCCAAAGGCGGCACTAAAACCGCTGAGCCACCTGGGCTGCCCCCACATTTCCACATTCTTAATGAAGTCAGTGGAAATTGACTTCAAAGCCAATTTTTATGTTTTAATTTCATGAAGATATATGCCACCTTTTAAACTTCGAGTTTGCAGTACTTTATAGTTGTAAAGTTTATATATATTTTTATATTAAGATAATAAAAAATATATATCTTTTAATGTTTGTTCTCAAAAATAGAAGTGTCACCATTTGTAAAAACAAGGCAAGAAAGTAAATGCAGTTAACTCAGTGTTTAGAAAAGACCTGGAATAGACTATGTGGACTCTTATGTTAGGAATCTGATTTCCAGGGCTATGTGCTGTTTAAGAATAAACTTGTGCATGAGTACAGAAAATTCCCAGGGTCCGTGTTCAGTGAGTTCTGTCTCTGGCAGAGGCACCAAGAGAAAGATGTTGCTTATGTCTCGGAAGATTGTCCTCTGGGAGTATCTCCGATTTACAGATGGTGATACTCAATAGAGAAAGGGCTAAAGGACGTAGGAAAGAGTATCTATAGAATTAAACAGTGAGCCAAACATTTTCCTTCTATTTCCTTACTGCTTCTGAAGTACCTTGGTTATCAGAAGTGCTTATGGGGAGAAGAAAGTCCATCTTGAAACGAGTGATACAAGCTGCTTTGCCACAAGCAGGACTCCTTCAGAGAAAGCAAAGTTCTAGAGGAAGGTTTGCAGGGAGAAATGATTAGATTGGAGGAAAAGTTTGTTCTGTGTTTGACATCACACATTTGTAGTGTGGGACATTTTATGAGCACTCTCTATTCTTTATTCGCACAGAACCATTTCTGAAAATAATATAATTCAAACATGCAAACCCTAATATACTTATTTAATAGCTTATTGAGATAAAATTCCTATGCCATACATTTCACTCATTTAAAGTATATAACAACTATCTTACTTATGATATCATATAAAAGTGATGTTATGTATAATGTGGATCCCTTTAACTTATAAAGTGTTAGGGCCTCCTGGTGATAGGGTTTAAATGCAGTAGAGCAGAAATTAATGAACTTATTAAATACCATAGGACCCAAATAGTTATTTTAGCTTTCAAAATATCTGATAAATCTCCATATTGTTTTTCTAATATCCTTGCTTTAAGGAAGTTAAAGATGTTTGCCTCTCTAGAAGTTTTTTTTTTTTTTAATTTATTTATGATAGAGAGAGAGAGAGGCAGAGACACAGGCAGAGGGAGAAGCAGGCTCCATGCATCGGGAGCCCGACGTGGGACTCGATCCCGGGTCTCCAGGATCGCGCCCGGGGCCAAAGGCAGGCGCCAAACCGCTGCGCCACCCAGGGATCCCAAGTTTAAATGGAACTATAAAACTTCCATCCCCTCTTGTGGTGTTGATAGGGTTATTTTTTTATTATTAATAGATGGAGAAGGGAGGTTGTTTATAAAGTTTTGAAGCACAATTTCACAATATTTGGAATATAGCCAGTATAGAGTAAAAATTTTACAATGTGTTTCCTCTAAGACTTTTTTTGGTTAGGTATATGGAAGTTAGTGCCATGGTTATATTTTTCACTACTCATGGTAGTTATTGGGGTTTTAGCAGGTGATAGTCAACCATGCCCTTTTCCTTGATTTATGTTTCTAAGCAAATGAGAAATAAGATGAATGAGTCAGACAGAAATGAAAATATCAGCTTTATTACTGATAAAACTGATGGGAAAGCAAAGCTTAGGTATGTAGCCACAAGGGTTTCCTTGGATCATTAGAATGAGGTTTGGTGCTAGTGCTAGAAAACTGAAACTAACCGTGGCTTAAATGAGGGAGAGACTCTCACCTAAAATTCCAGAGGAGTGAGAGAGTTTCAGAGGATCTGGCACCCAGACTCCTTTCATATTTGTTCATTAGCTATGTATGGCCTCCTTTTCTAGGGTCATTCCGGGGTCTAGGGTGGATGTCCCCGCTCCAGCTAAATGCATGCATTCTAGCCAACAGGAAGAAAGAGTGGAATAAGGAAAAACGTCTCCATTTAAAGACACATCTTTTTTTGCTTCTATCTCACTAGCTAGAACGTAGTCATTTAGCCACATCTAACTAGCAAAAGTACCGAACTAAAAATTAAGAATGCTACTATAGAAGGGAAGAAGGAGTGATGTTAGATGATTTATAGTCTTTGCCATATTCCTGAGTTAAACTTCTGCAGCCAGACACAGGCAGAGCCAGACCACCACTGTTCTCCCCTGTAGCGAAGCTCAAGTGCTTAGCACAGAGCAGACGTCCCCCCAGGCTAAACTGCTTCTGAGAGGATCAAGGAAGGGGCTGAGTTGGACATGCCCAGTTCCTTCTGACTCTTGCCCACTGAGAGAGGTCTAACGTGTTTCTCCTATGTTTTTTGCTCCTAACTGATGTTTGGCTTTTCTAAGGGGCAGTACAGTGAACTGTCGTAAGGCAGGAAAGCAGCACATGATTTGGCACCACAATAACAACATTTTCTTATTTTCCCGTGATCTAGCCTTTCTTTGTCTTCACTGTCCATTAGATTAAGAAATCTTCCTGAATAATCATAAGAGAGTTCTTCTTCTGGCAAAATATCTTTGGCTGCAAAAAGTGCCAACTTTGGTACCATTGAGTCAATTCGGACAGGAATCATCAACAGGTTTGGCTCGCAAGAATGGTTAAGAAATCTTCCAATATTTCCTATGCAGGAAGGATCAACAAATGTTTCTATTACCTGCCCGTTGTAAACATGTTCTCTAATGGCTATAATGTAATTTGGGTCCTGTATTGTTTGTAACTGAATTCTTCTCTGTACTTCAGAATATCCCAAAACCTCACCAGCATATTCACAGACAAACCGTCCTTTTGGTATAAATTCCAAGGTACGAAGTCCCCAGCCTTTCTTATCCGTCTTGAACACCTGGAGTTGGAACTGCAGACCCTGCTGGACTACTTTGTTCCTGCAGTGATCACTGCACTGGCATAGGACGTTGCATTCAAAAACTGGCTTTGCACACTTTCCTTCCGATCCTATATCTATAAGGCATGAATTATCATCATAGTTCTCCCCATGACGGAGACAGGAGCAAGTACCAGGGAGGCAGGGAGTTTTGAGGCAAATGCATCCGGGAAAGGTTATTTGTGTAGGATCAACGTCTGTTCCAGGTCCAGCTACATGGTCAGGAGTATACTACAAAAAATAGAAATGCTCTAAGTTAGCATGGCATGTCATGTATTTCATATATATCTTTTTCTTGTTTCTTTTAAAAGATTTTTATTTATTTATTTGACAGAGAGAGAGAGAGGAAGCACAAGCAGGAGGTGCGGCAGGCAGAAGGAGAGGGAGAAGCAGACTCCCCACTGAACAGGGAACCTGACCCACCAGGGCTCAATCTCAGGACCCTGGGATAACGACCCAAGCCGAAGGCAGCTGCCTAACTTATTGAGTCACCCAGACACCCCACATTTCAAGCAGCTTTTGGATGAGACATTTCCCAATTCCAACATATAAAAAAATAGATTAAAACAAAACTGACAACATATACTAAGATATTGTTTGAAACATATCTCTTCAATTTAAAAAATAAGATTAATTTTTGGATTTAAAATTCTGTGGTTTCATTTTAGGTATGGAATAACTAAAAGAAAAAATATATGTTTTTCTCTTATCAAAAATTGAAAGGTTTAGAACTCATTTTTTTCCCCTCTTAGCTTTGGATATCAGAAAGATCAGTGCTGAATTTAGTCTTTAAAGCAGTTAAGTATTTTATTCTTGGCACTTGATCTTTTTACATTTATCTGACAATATAAATGCATATATGTATTTTATTGTGAGTGAGTCACTGCAGATGCTTTTTGGGGAGAAGAAAGTCACGAATGATAAATAAATTAATGAAAAATGCTTTTGGAAGAGTCTTCCACTGATTTTTTCTTAGGAATTCCCAATTTAATGATGGTCTAAATTCCTAAATACTCTTTGATGTTTAAAAAAGACACTATTACTTTATAGTTTTATTTGAGTCTTCATAAAATTAAAAATAGGCATTGGCCAAGAAATTGCATCCAAAAATCATATTTGTTATATAGATACTAATAAATGTAGATGTATTATATATATACAGAAATGTTTTTACTAAATGATAAAGAGATAATATAGAAAAGTTTCTCACATTACAGAAAAAGAAAGTCTCAAGTCTAAAATCTCTATGTAAGACCTGATCTCTAGTTACTTCCTCACTAGCATAATGAAGCGTATTTCCAAACCTTGAAGATGAAAGTATCTCTTATGAGCCCAGCATATTTCTTTATGTATAGAATAATTCTTGCTTATATGGAACGTAACTCATTTATTTATGACTGCTATTAGTGTTCTTGGAAGCAATTTCAATGTGGTAGTGGTAGTGGTGGGGAGTTTCCCCACACCTCTAACAAGCAATGCTTCAGACACCAGGTGGGTATCCTACAACTCAACTCCATTCTGACACTATCCAATAGCATCACATTCCACAGTTCAAGGGGTCAGTCCTAAGACTGCTCCCCACCCCCTCAGACACCAGTCGTAAGCTCAGGTTGTCAACTGTGCTTCTAACTGAAGGGCTACATATCAAAGGTTCCCATGACCTCCTCCTTGGACTTCAGACACCAGTCATAAGTCCAGGTTATTATTTGAACTTGTGGCTGACAAGCTGTAAATCAGAGGTTCTTAAAATCCCCTCCTTGCATTTGATTAATTTGCTAGAATAGCTCACAGAACTCACAGAGAAAAATCCTATGTACTAGATACCAGTTTAATTATAAAAGGAACTCAGGAACAGCCAGATGGGAGAGATGCTTAGAGCAAGGTATGGGGAAAGGGAGAAAAACTTTCATGGGTTCTCCAGGCAAGCCACCCTCCCAGCACCTTCAGGTGTTCACCAACCCAGAAGCTCTCCAAACTTTGTTTTCTTGGGTTTTTATGGAGGCTTCATAACATAACCATGATTGATCAAATCACTGGCTATTACTGGCAAATGATTCAACCTCTAGCCCCTCTCCCAGTTGGAGGTCAGGGTGAGGGTACTGAAAGTTGCAACACTCTAATCATATGGTTGGCTCCACTGCCAACCAGCTGGTTGGCAGCCAGCTGTCATCTTCAGGTGTTTTCCAAAACTCGCCTCATTAATATAACAAAAGATACCTTTTTGAGGCTCTCATTACTTGGTAAATAACAAGGGTTTTAGGAGCTCTGTGCCAGAAATGGGGGCAAAGAGCAAATACATATTTCTTTTTAAAAATCACAATATCACACCTGCTTTGTTCCAACAAGGATTTTTTTAAAAAAAGATTTTATTTATTTATTCAAGAGTGACACAGAGAGAGGCAGAGACATAGATGGAGGGAGAAGCAGGCTCCCTGCAGGGAACCTGATGCAGCACTGGATCCTAGGGCCCCTGGGATCACAACCTGAGCCTAAGGCAGATGTTCAACCACAGAGCCACCCAGGTACTCCTCCAAAAAGGATTTAATGAGACATACAAGGAATTAAGATAAATGAACAATACATAAATATAAGGTGAAGGGAAAAAGAAGAGCTAGTTGAGTGAGCTTTGACACACACAGTATGTAGCAGAAATAAACTGGACGTTTGGTTTTGCCTAAGCACAGCCTCTTCAAAGAGGGAAATACAAATAGATGTATGGCTTGCATTATCCATAAGAAATAATCTCACAGTTCAGAAGAAGCATTGACTTTTTCTGATATAGACTGGAGAGAAATTTCACAATGTGTCTCTCTATACCATTCTTTTCCAGAAAACAGTTTCATGGTCTGTTTTTCATTCTGACTCTCAATAAAGGCTTTTTGGCATGCTGCCACAGCACAGTCAGTAGCAATAGTACCGCAAGGGACCAGCTGCACAGGCCTTAATTCATGGATAGATTTTAGAGTATCTAGAGGGATATCTGGGCCGTGTAGGTCAGTCAATCATGCATTAATATTGCGTCTCTGGGCCAAGCTTTGGAGAAAGTATTAAACAACATGTAGTTACACTACCTGTGGAGGCCTCGGTGGAGCTATCCAGTTAGGCTCAAAACCCTGTATTTTTAAAAAAAAAAACGTTAAGCTGGGGTAAGGATTGACATCCTCTTGTGAAAGATGAGGAGGATGATGAGTGGGAGTACCTGCGGGGGAAGGCCAACACGCTGCTTAAAAAGTGATTTGGGGGTGGGAGAGCGGAAATAGCTTCTCTTGTTTGTGTCATTTCTTACAGCTTTAACTTAGTGGAGATGTCCTAAAGGGATAAAGAATGGCTTAGAAAAAGATGCCCTATCAGTCAAATTCAATGACTGCTGTCTTATACAGAATCTACTTCCAGCTTTTAAGAGTCAAGGTTGAAATGTAAATGGTTACTGAGACATTTTAAAATGTACTTGTAAAATGAAGATTTTATCATCTCTTTGTTAAACTTTTCATGAAGAATTCTTTTAAACTGATTTCTTCTTAAAGGCGCACATATTTTTGATGTACTGTATAAATCACTATACTGTAAAGTGATTTTTTTTTTTTTGGACACAGATAACTCCTTTTGTAATCAAGCCTGACTTACTGTAGTCTTCTAACCAGAAGAACTTTGTTGAACTTATTTGGATATGGATAGGTTTGAAAAAATATTATTTGCTTATTTTTATTAATATATTTTAAAAAGACCCTGGAGAATCTAGTGATACAGTTTTTTTAAATTCCGGAACTTAAACTTGATGCACAATCTAAGGTCTTTTAGAAACACAGATTATAAAGGGCATCTAATTCCAAATGAGCTGTAGACACCTTCCAAAGGATAAGAGAGACCTTTGGATAAACTTCCTGTTTAAAGAGAATATTTGTTTTCCCTTGATGGATGTAATCCTTAACCCTGATACCGATACTTAATCACAAATCATTTTTTCTCCATAGATCTTCATTTTCTCCTCCATAAACAGTAAAATACTATTCCAAAAGGTATTTCAAAAAAAAAAAAAACCCAAAACAAAACAAAACAAAAAAACAAAAAGATATTTCACCTTAGAAAAATGGCTATACTAGAGAATAATCTTTTGAAAACTGTGTTCTACATTAACATACGATTATGTAATTATTCATCTTTTCAGGTATCTATGTATAGGAAAACTACTTTTAGAAATAATCTGATGTCATTGACCTGATACTCTATTCAAATATTTATGTGCCAGGGTGCTTAGGTGGCTCAGTGGTTGAGCATCCCTTTGGCTCGGGTCCTGATCCCGGGGTCCTGGGATAGAGTCCCGCATGGGGCTCCCGACAGAGAGCCTGCTTCTCTCTCTGCCTATGTCTCTGCCTCTTTCATGAATAAATAAATAAAATCTTAAAAAAATAATATGCCATGCAAATTGTTAACTTTTGAGAATCTGAAAGCTAATGTTAAGTACGTTACAAACTGGGAGTCAGCTGACATAAGTTTAAATGCTCCCAATTTGTAACTCTTTCCATAGTCTGTCCTCTACTTCCTGGAGCAAAGCCCAGGGCCAAATTGGTCCAAAAAAGGTTATTACCCTGAGGGTTTTTTGCTTACCCTAAACCCAGGAGAGATCAAAGCTTGGGGAATGAGACCATAAGAGGACATATTTTTTTTACCTATCCAACATTCCTTTTCTTCTGATAAAAGCATCCTGACTCCTCCCAGGGGAACCGTTCCCACTCCTGTCTCATTGGTTTGGATGAGGACCCAGTTTGGGCTGGTACCGCGACTTGGCTAATCAGGTCATTACTTGCTCCTTTCAACAGTGTTTGGTTCATGGGTCGGCACAGTACTTAAGACATATCAATGAAAAAAAAATTCTGAGACTTCTGCTCAAACTATCAGGAAGAGACATTCTCATTCCACGTGTTCACCTGGCATTCTCCAGTTCTACCTCACACATAAGACCTACTAAGTAGTGTAGCCAACCAGAGGAAAGGGGAACAGGGGTGCGAAGGGTAGAGGTGGTAAAAGAAGTATCTGATGACACCACTAGAGTTCTTAGATCGAGATATTCCTATAGTTAGCACTCTTGGACTTTGCTGTTATGAGGCAATTCCTTCCCTTTTTTGCTTGACTTAGTTTGTGTTGGTCTATTTCTTACAAACAAGTGACTCTTGATTGATATGCCCACAGTGAAGGTTGACAGTGATTCCAGGAAATAGCTGGAAAACTGAGTCAAAGATATTCATGGCTAATGAGAATTCAGGTCTCCAGTTGGGAGATGAGGCTAAGGCAAAGTGTGCAGGAGGCCAGATAGGCCTGTGACAGGCCTGAACACCAGACAACCAATGGAGAACTTCTGAATGTAGAACATGGAATGTCCTAAAGGAAATACATACAGAACCAGGCTCTTATTAGCATTGTGACTTAGGGCAAGTTACCTTCTAAATTTTGGGTTTGCATCTATAAAACAGGAGTAATACCTGTATCTGCCCTTGTTCCCCAGGTATTATTAAATTTAAAAACTAACACTGTCCTCAATGCCAGGCACCTTATACTTTTAAAATAGTAGCTTCCTTAAATGCTTCTAGATATTATTTCTAGATTTTATATTTAAAACATCATATATTTCTGGCACATTATTTAACTGCTCTAAATATTTCCTTTCTATCTCACAGGTGGCTGTGAAGGAAAAAAATGAGACATTCCACATAAAAAGCTTACTCTAGTGACTGGCTCATTAAGTGTTCAATATGAATTACGTAGGCTTTCTGGTAGGGTGGTGAAAACAAAGATTATGACGTTAAACTTTGCAGGTTCAAACACAGTTAAACCAAAATTTTGTCTAGGAGATAATATATTTTTATTTTCCATTACTTATCCATCTTAAGGAGGGGGAAACTTAGAATTGACCCAGCACAGACTTCTTTCATTCATCCACAAATACTGCCTCCCTTATTGCTTGTTAGATGCATGTGCTGGGATTTAGAAAGAGTCGGAAAAATACAAAGAAGACACAGAGAGTGGGATTTTTATCTTTTTTTTTATATAATAACAATTTCTTCTTGGTATGTATCAAAATGCAAACACTGATCATGCAAGAGTTGGGAATAAATGCAAAATGACCAGTGACACACAATATAAGAGAAACCAGATCTTAGAAGAACTGGTCATAGATTTCAAGTTTTTTGACAGAAAACTTAAATCTTTTTTTTTTTTTTTTTAAATAAACCATGGTCACTTGAGAAGCCAAAATGGAAACCAGGAGACAGCATGTTGAAAAGGAAAATGACCTCTGCGGCTATTCTCATACACAGTTTTTCTCTTTTGTGAACTAGACCTGCGCTTATTAATAGCATGAATTTTGGGATCTAAATTTTAGGTATAGATTGTATGGCTCTCTGGTTGATTACATGTGTAAGTCTTATCTAACAAATATATGTCTCAAGCAAATGGTCATGTGGTTGGGTTGGGATATGGTAATGAGGGTTGGGTTACTTTTCATAGTACTGGACACTGAGCAGCTGGCTTAGGAAATATCTTTTGATAGCTTGATTGCAGCTCTTGATAATTTCTTATTGAAAGTCTGACTTTTCTAAGTCACATTCTATATTGAAGCCCCAGAAACTTAAGTACGACACCACATAATATTTTGGGCTTAAAACCTAGGCCTTGATTCTGAATCTAAAGGAAGTGCTGTGAAAATCTTCATTCCTTTTTTGGTTGTTCTAAAACACCCGCTACATGAATCTTTGTACTTGGCCTCTACCCCATGGGTTTGTTTTTGCTCCAAGCAGCTATTAAGAGCCTGTGAGCCAGATAATTCTTGTCAAGGCCAAGTTGAAATCTTAAGAAATATGTTTGAAACTGGTTTCAGAAACCTGAAAAACTCTCCATTCAAGAAAATCAATTAGTTTATTTTCTACGTGGCTTTCAACACAGATGGCATTATGATAGGCTTGTTTCAGTGTGAACATGTGAATGAATGTTCTTTTTGCCTTTTCACACAGTAGTCAAAAGCAAACTAGACACAGAGTTATTTTTACCTTGAGTTTTGCAGGCCTTAATTCTTATGTGTGTACATGCCTGTGAAGGCAGAGCTTGGAGTAAGCAAGCAGTTTTGACCTTTCATAAGACAAGTTTTGTGCTCCATGAATATAGGAAAGCAAACTAGTTAAAGACACTTTTAGGTTTTTCATAAATGTTTCAAGTATGTTTTATCTTCTTGGTAAGACTATATAAGCTCCTTGAGGAAGGACCTTAACTTCTTTCTGAAACTCTAACTCTACCCAGGGCTATGCATATAGCCACACAGCTAGAATACTGTGGGACTGAGGCTTGGTCTCCAGATTTTCATTTATGCCTATCAACTGTAGGTATAAGTATCAATCATACGGCTTCCTCTCTCCTTTCTTCAGCACCCCCCTCCCCCAGCCCCTGGCCATAGCAACCAAGTGCTTTCTATAGGATCCTGTAAGCTCAAAGGCACGGTTGTCACCATTTTATCTTCCAGGTCTAGCTTAATGCCTAGCACATTATATACGCTCAATTACTTGCTGAATAAAGAAAACATTTACAGTGTTTCTGACCAGACATTCAGCAATGTTTGGTCTTGAATAAGCTTTTAGGGATTAGTGTTTAATAGGGTACTAGCCAACTGTATTATTAACCATAAAACTGCCCTAAAGTAGTTTGAGGAAAAATAACCTTTCCTGACATTAATATCCTGCTTTACTCTTTGAAAACTGCTACCGAGTCTACGGTTTTATTTGATCTTCACAACAACCCTAGGAAGAAGGAGGGACGTACAGGGCTCGGTATTGACCGTATATGTGACAAAGGTCATGCATCTTTAATTATTTTCATTTTGCAGATGAACAAACTCAGACTCCAAGAAATAGCCCGAGATGGCTCCACCCTGAACCTTGCTCTCCTACCTCCAAATCCAAGCGCTTCTTCCACTCCAGCATAATTGTTTTCTTGGTCATATTCCGAAGGCAAAGAGTAGGCCAAGGTCAGAGGGGTGGGAAAAGTAGAGCAGAAAGGGTGTTGATGTGGTAATAGTAGCGAACATTTATTGGGTTGTTTTAGTAAACTAGGAAGTGTGTTTTACTTGTAATTCTCAAAGCAATCCGGGAGGCACTATTATTTTCACCGTAGGCTGGAGGTGAGGGGTGGGGTGGGGTATGCCCCCCCAACTCCTAGATGAGTTCTGGGGCCAGAGCCAAGAAGAAAGAAGAAGAAAGAAGAAAGGAGGGAGGGAGGAAGGAGGGAGGGAGGGAGGAAGGGAAGAAGAAGAAGAAGAAGAAGAAGAAAGAAAGAAAGAAAGAAAGAAAGAAAGAAAGAAAGAAAGAAAGAAGAAAAAAAGCCAGGTTCTCAGGACTCTTTCCCAGGGTCCTCACAAAACACCGGGTTCTGCCCTTCAGGAAACTGCCAGTCTGTGGGTAGCAAAGAGGAATACTCTTGCTAAGGTCATTAGGGAGGGTTAATAGAACAAGACCCAAATCTGTGCTTTGAAGAGAGCCATTCCTGCAGGAAACAGCTCTGCCAACAGAATAAGAAAAAGAGGAAAAAAAAAAAAAAGAAAAGAAAGGCGAGGGGCGCCTGGATGGCTCAGTGGCTGAACGGCTGCCTTTGGCCCAGAGTATGATCCGGTGAGGGATCGAGTCCCGCATGGGGCTTCTCCCTCTGCCTGTGTCTCTTTGTCTCTCTTTGTGTCTCTCGTGAATAAATAAATCAAATCATTAAAAAAAAAAAAATAAAAAGTCGAGACTAGGGAGACAACTTGAGGTATCAGAGGCGTCCACAGAGTTAGGCCAGGCCGGGGAGCAACGCGCTCGGGCCCCCGGCTCCGCCCCCCACGTGGACCGGCGCCAGTCCCACCCCGCTGGCTGCGCGCGCAGCACGCGCGGCGGGTAAGGCTCGCCCCCTAGAGCAGGGCGCAGGCGCCGTGGGGCCGCTTCCTCGCCGGCCGCGCCCCGCCCCCTACCTGGAAGGGCTCTGGCTTCGTCCCCGGGGGCCACGCGCTCACAGGCAGGTTCTCCAACCCGCGCGCGACATCCAGGCGCTCGCTCGGGGCCTCAGGCCCCTCCTCAGTCGCTGCCATCCCGCACGGCATGGCCACCGCTCCACAGCTTTCGTGGGCATTTCGCGCCATCTCGACGCGCCTGCCACCCTGGGCCACGCGGAGGATGCTGGGAACCGTGGTCCCGCACCCCCCACCCCACCCCCGCAGCCCCGTCGCCTCTTGGGAGTCGTAGTTTTTCTCTCTCCTTTCCCGAGTGGCCTGTGAGGGTGTCTCCTCCTCCCTCGACCCTCAGCCTTCCTTGCCTTTTGGTCTGGCTCGCTCTCTCGGGCCAGAGGCACAACAAATAACACAAAGCTTTGGAAGGTACGGACGTAGCTTTTGAAATACAAAATGAAGGGCGTTGATTTTTCTTGTGAGCCTCACAGGGAGGGCTTGGGGGGGGGTCGCTTTGTCAGGTGTCTGAGGCCCGCGAAGATCGCTGGGGTGAGGGTAGGGGAGCAGGGTTTCTGAGGTGCTGGGACTTGCGTGGAAGTTGGGTGGCGCGTGCTAGGGTTTGAGCTCAGGCGGCAGAATGGCGGTGTAGGGCGCCCTGAGGCAGGTGTGGGGGCGCCCACTCCCGGAGTTCTCGGTTTCCTAGCAGCTTTCCCCTTTCCCGGAAAAAAAAAAAAAAAAAAAAAAAACCGGCGCCAACAAGGGATTCTGATAACCTCGAAATTGGTGAATCCGGGCAACGTTTTCAAAGCTCTCTGACCCGATTGTCCTGCCGCATCTGCCTGAAACGCCGCGTCCTTGAGCTTCTGCGGCGCCTGCCCGGCACGCGCTGCCCCCTGGCGACCGTCCGGCGCCCTCCTGACTGCGGGGTCGCTGGGCGGCCCTCAGCTTCCTGCCCCAGGCCCTGCCCTCGCCTCACCTGGGCTTCCTCAGCAGTCACCTCTCCCGCCGCGGCTTCCAGTACTGTTCCAACGTATCCAGTCTTCTGCTTCCTGCCCAGACGTTCGGGACATCCAGGAACCTGGCTCAGGTCGTGGAGATGCAACCGGTGACTGGACGTTTCTGCTTTCTGTCTTACAGACGCCGCGAGCTCGCAATGACCCGAGTTGACGAATTCTTCTGCAAGTCTTCCTTTTCTCCTTTAAAACAAACTGGGGGAGTAGTTTGTCCATGATCGACAGTTACTAGAGTAACAAACCAAAGCACTTCCCTATATGTCTTCCTCGCCCGAGACTTCCATAGCTATGAGTTTCCTGGCCAAATATTGTTGATTCTACTTTGGTGGTGTTTCACATTTTCACTTCTTTTTACTTAGTCTAAGGCTCTGGTTTCTTTCTTGGGTTCTTTCTTTCTTTCTTTCTTTCTTTCTTTCTTTCTTTCTTTCTTTCTTTCTTTCTTTCTTTCTTTCTTTTTTTAAATTTATTTATTCATGAGAGACACACACAGAGAGAGGCAGAGACACAGGCAGAGGGAGAAGCAGGCTCCATGCAGGGAGCCCCATATGGGACTCATTACGGGTCTCCAGGGTCACGCCCTGAACCAAAGGCAGACGCCCACCTGCTGAGCCACGCCGGCGTCCCTCTTTCTTGGATTCTTGAAGTTATTTTTTTCAAGTCTGACATTCTCCCAAATCACCTTTGTGCTGCTTCTGTAGTCTTTGAGGATGCACATCCCATTGTTACATTTTGTTTAAAATCCTGTGTTTACATTGCACAGTGTTATGTTTTCCAATTTGGGGAGTGTGGCCATGAAGAAGACATGATGCCTCAGGAGAGCTCCTTTCCAGCGAACAAATAATTACATACAACTAGAAATTAGTAAGAACTATAAGAATGTTAGGAATAAAGAATTATAGGAGCAATAAGAACCACTCTCCTGTACTTGAGATTGTCATGCTGTTTTCTTTTTCTTTCTCGCTTGCTCTTTCTTGGTAGTTTTGTCTGCCTTTCGGAATGGTATTTTGAAGCATACATTTTATTTTTTTCCTGAAGTTGTCAGTGAATGTGCTTCCCGAATAAGATACTCAGTTCATGTCAGCCCTTCAGTTTAATTTGTTTTTAATCTTGCTAGCAAAGGATCCAAAAGTATTTTATATAGTGTGAGATTAAAATAATGAGAGGATGTTTGTAGGCTGATATACCCAGTCTTGAGAGTGCCAAGCAGTCAGTCTTTCATCTTTTCCAGGTCTAAAAACTTACCTTATTTTCTCTAGACACCTGCTCTTCACTGCTAGGGACCTGGATCTTCAAAGTTTGTTTTGAAAAATATTACAGGTAGATGCTGAAAAAAAAATTATTCCTGGACATTAATGAGTTGCCCACACATTGACTGCTATGAATAAGCCTTGGGCCTGAATATTACATTGATTATTCAAATTTCTTATGGCTTTTTTTATTGGTAGAAGAATTAATCTAATCAGTAATAAAAATGTGCAATATGGTAAAACTCTAATATTCTGTAGGTTAAATTATCTTTGGCTAAAGTATGGCTATATGACCTTCCCATTTTTTTAAACAAAAATAGACTGTAATTGAGATGGTTCTCTCTCTCTCTCTCTCTCTCTCTCTCTCTCTTTCTCTCTCTGTTTCCCCCAGGGCTTTTATGAAGTTCTGCATGATTTTGTACTGAGAAGCCATTCCTTTATCACAGTCTTACTAGCATTATCTGAGCTTAATCTGGGATATACTTTATAGCTAGTGATCAAAGGCCTAAAATAAGCAGAAGTTACATATTTGTTGGTGCTTATGACAGCATGAATAGAATAGTTTGGAAATCTTAGCACCAGTTATAACTATCACTACTAGATTTTGAGTAGCACCTGGATCTCATATCAAATAAGATTATGTAAATGAAATCATTTTGATGAGAACGAAGCATAGTAGTTGATACTTCTGGGGTTTCTGCCCAACTCATAGACTCCTCGCCTTCTGAGAAGATCCCTCCCACCCCTGCAAATAGCCCATCTCATGGGGTGGGCTTGCAGATAGTCATATTTATATTACACAACTCCTAAGCCTTGACTCATGCTTTTTTTTTTTTTTTAAGATTTTATTTATTTATTCATGAGAGAGACAGAGACAGCAGCAGAGACATAGGCAGAGGGTAAAGTAGGCTCTATACAGGGAGCCCAATATGGGACTCAATCCTGGGTCTCCAGGATCACACCCTGGGCTGAAGGCAGACTGCTGAGTCACCCAGGCGTCCTTGCTTTTCACTTCTTGTTGCATACTTGATTGAAGAAGGCCACTTAGATTTTCTTTATGAACGGTTTAGACCAAAACCCAGCTAACTCTATGTATAATTTGGGAACAAGAGGTAGCTTTATTTGGTATATTGATGGAGAGGCAGAGATCAGTCAGTCTTCCAAGACAAAAAACAAGGCAGATAAGTGAGAAGGAGAGAGGACTTTTCAGTTCCTGACCCCTGGTCATTTCTGGTTCTGATTCCTTTTTAATTCACATAACATATTTGTATTCCTATAACAAATTCTTTTAGGTTTAGGTTAAGTCAGTGTCTGTTACTGTAGTCAAAGAATTTAGCCAGTGAAAATGATGTATTATTATTACCATTATTATTCCTAGAAGGTGTGGGCTGGATGATCATCTACTCTGTTCTGTACAGCTGCTAGTTGGTATCTGAATTTTTGTTTATTTTATAAGTTGGTAAGTTCTGTCTTTTATTTTTAACACTTTGCCTTTCTGATGTGTTTTACACTGAAGAATGCCTCCCTAAGATAATATGAATAGAAATTTGCAGCAAACAATAGTAAAAAACCATAACATTTATATCTGGTAGGAAGGATAGTAAGTGTCCAGTATTGTAAAAAGCAGAATAGAAAGAGATTTGTTCAGAAAATGTGTCTTTTTAGTAGCTGAAATGTTATGTCAAAGTGGATGGCATGTGGACCATTTTGCAGTAAGAAAAAATATGACTATATTAAAATAACTTGAGAGTGGTAGTTTACAAAATTATGATCCTGTGATATCTGTGCCTTTTAAAAGACAGTAGCTTATGTTTTTGTGTTTATACTGCTAGTAAATATATGGCTTCAGCAGAATGAAAGTCTTGCATCATGTGCTATATTATCATTGCATTGTAGCATAATGAAATCCATAATTTACCTTGTTGATATGATAACAAAAAGCATCAAGATATAATC